AAATGAAATTACATGTAATCCCATTTTTTGTTCTTATGGCAACAGTTAAAAAGTTTGTCTAACCGTTTCTATTTCGTTGCAGAAATCAATTTGGCTTGATTCTTGGAAATTTCCTTTGATGTTTAAAACATATTGGTGGACCAATTAGAGAAAATTGGTATTAAAAACTTTCATATTTTCCTGTTTTCAGGCAACAGTGACCATTGAAAATTTTAAATTCTGAATGCACATGGTACAACTAGACTTGGTGATTATTACGTCATTCTCTGTAACAATCAAAGAATTTAGAAAAAAAATGGAAATGGTACCTCACAGATTTGGCTGATATTTTGCATGTAATGTAGGAACACCATATATAGAGCATACTTGGGGTCAATTTTAGATTTGAGTACCGGTTGCCATGGTAGCCAAAACCACCATTTTAAGGCCAAAAATATGGAGCGGCCTACTGAAATTATACCAACTTCATCTTAAATTTCTATTTTCTAACATATTTTTACAGGATTAATTGTTGCCTACTCTGATGGACTATTTGTTGGAGTAACTACCACAAATAATGAAATGATTCAGTAGTAGGTCATGAAAGAGTGGTCTTTCATTGAAAAGTGTCAATTTTTTGAAATTCAGAAAAATGCAGATTTTGGGCTTTTTCTAAACATAGTTAAGCAAGAAAACGCGGACAATCCATAACAAATATTTACAATCATTTAAAAGTACATTCTATACTCAACAAAATGTAAAATTTCTAGAGAGGTATTATTTCTTAAGAAAAAATAAAATAAAAACAAAAATGGTTGCTATGCAGAATTTGGATTAATTTGTAGATTCAACATTTGGCTCATTTTTGTATGATCTTCTTTCTGCCAGGTATCTTTCTTCATAACAGCCTTACCCTAACAAAAAAAATACTATAGTTAACTATAGTTTACTATAGTTAACTATAGTTTACTATAGTTAATTATAGTTAACTATAGTAAATCAAAGTGTCAAAGTGATCACAACAGTAAATCAAAGTTTTCAAAGTGATCACTATAGTAAATCAAAGTTTTCACCATAGCAAATCAAAGTTTTCATAGTGATCACTATAGTAAATCAAAGTTTTCACCATAGTAAATCAAAGTTTTCATAGTGATCACTATAGTAAATCAAAGTTTTCATAGTTATCACTTCAGTAAATCAAAGTGTCAAAGTTATCACTATAGTAAATCAAAGTTTTCAAAGTGATCACTATAATAAATCAAAGTTTTCACCATAGTAAATCAAAGTTTTCATAGTGATCACTATAGTAAATCAAAGTTTTCATAGTTATCACTTTAGTAAATCAAAGTGTCAAAGTTATCACTATAGTAAATCAAAGTGTCAAAGTGATCACTATAGTAAATCAAAGTTTTCACCATAGCAAATCAAAGTTTTCATAGTGATCACTAAAGTAAATCAAAGTTTTCACAATAGTAAATCAAAGTTTTCAAAGTGATCACTATAGTAAATCAAAGTTTTCACCATAGTAAATCAAAGTTTTCATAGTGATCACTATAGTAAATCAAAGTTTTCATAGTTATCACTTTAGTAAATCAAAGTGTCAAAGTTATCACTATAGTAAATTGAAGTGTCAAAGTTATCACAATAGTAAATCAAAGTTTTCATAGTGTCAAAGTTATCACTATAGTTAACTATAGTAAACTATAGTTAACTATAGTATTTTTTGCTAGGGTATTATCCCACTCAACTTGTATCTTTGAAGTCTATGTAACTGATGTAAGCTTGCTTTTAGACACTTTATTGGTTAAAATCGTATACACCTAGCTGGAACCATTCCGCCAAAAGTCCTAAGCACTGCAACTGTTCCAATTTTTCTTCAATTTTCGCCGCAGCCAAATTCTTAAAAGGAATAATATTTTTCAGCAATTCTAACTTTATCAGTTACACTAAAACAATATTTCAGTAAGAAAAATATCATACTTCACAGAGGTTCATTTACTATGTAATTAAAATTATTCAGAGATTTTTGTCCAAAAAAAAAAAAAAAAAAAAAAAAAAAAAAAAAGAATTTCCATCGCAAAGAGGCATGTGATCTACGGGAATCATGTGTACGAAACATTTATAGATTAAATGTCCACGATTTGGTCTGCTGACATAGGAAAATGTTACATTTAGTTTAAAATACACTGCAACATGTCAAATTGTAATATTTAATACTTATATTAATAATCAAACTATAACATAGTAATGCTTTTCATAAATAATAAACACCTACAAGATAATAAGGGTATATAGTTAAATGCAATTAAAAGTACAAGATTGTGTATATTAAGTATCAGTAGATTGGAAGAATTGCTTTCGCTCGAGATGCAACGGAACCAGAATTTATCCATTTTAAAATAAATCAGTGCAAAAAAATTGAACTGACAAAAGGATTGATTGTTGGCATTAAAAAAAATATTAACGTTCCTTGCGAGAATCGAACCATAAAAATGCTGAACTTCATTGCACTGGACGGGTAACGCATACCACTGAGCTATCATCACTACACATACTGGATTTTAAGAGCCCTCTATACACTGCACACTAGAGAGTTCTGAATTTGTGGTATTTTTATGCAGATAGAGTGACCTGCCCTTTGATCAAGTATAATATAAATTGAAATGTACAGTTTATAACTCAATTTGTGATCAAATCAAGCATTCATAACACTTTAATAGGCCAAGATGAATAGATAGAACACTTCATTTGCAGGTATTTTGCCCACTAAAGTAAACAACAGTGATTTATGTTCATCAGTACTTCATTGTCTTTGAACATTTTTCCTGGGGGTAAATGCAAGGCACCCTATGTTGAAAATGTGATAGATAAGCTCAATACTTACACCTTTACACACCATAATTTTCTCAATGTCCAAAAAATATTTTCCTCTAGTGTATAGAGGGTCCTTAAAACGACAATGAAGCATCGCATTTACACAGTGGAATTTTTTCTTTGGGAAAAGTTCATTTTTTATGGTCCCTGGGTCTTCTCTCCATTTTTTTTAATAAATGGTTGTTTGTTTCTTTGAATTAGATTATGCATATAACGTTTGAAAATCGTGGAGAGATGACCCAGATATAGCAAATTTTAAGAAAACGTTTTTAAAAATGTGATATTTTGTACCAAATGAACCATCTAGCCTCTTTTCAAGTTATTTTTTATAGCAAATCAAGGCAAAATATCGGGAAAAGATTTCCCTTTCCTATTTCACAGGAACCCGATACATCAAAAGAATGCTAAAACCTCATGTGACAGAACAATGAAATTGAATGCCAATAAAAAGCGCCCTCGTTCTTTATAGTGCTTGGTTAAAAAAAAAACAGCAAACAGAGCTATTTATAAGTAATTCTTAACGAATCAGATGAAACAGTCTGAAATGGAAGAATCCACAAGGAATTCTGACCCTAAAGGGGCTTTTCAAAATACCTTAATTTCGTCCGGATCCAAATGGAATTCTTTTTGTCAAGAAGAATATTCACATATTCCTAAAAATGGAAAACAAATCACGGCTAGCTAATGTGATTTTGTTTTACATACATAAGCTTATACAATTATATATATATAAAGAGAGAGGTTTTTTTTCTTAAAGAGGTATTAATTATACCTGGCATGGCGCTGTATTGTAGCGAATTAACATCAAATGAAATTTCTAATTAAGGTACAGTTTTTTGACTTTTTTTTTTATTTAAAGCGTACAATGATGAAAACTTTTTTTTAAAGAATACATGTACTTTTACAAACATATCCAACAAGATGTGTTTGTGAAACACTGATGCCCCCGTATGGCAACTTATAGCAAAGGTTAAACTCAAATGCAAATCAAATATGTTGGTACCCAAAGTAAGGTATTGTCTCGAGGAATATACCTGTGAAATATGAAAATCCTAGCAGCAACTTTGAATACATAGTTATGGCCAAGGTTAAAGGTTTTCCAAAGTAGGTCAAACTCCAAGGTCAGGGTCAAAGTTGTGGAAAACTTTAACCTTGGCCATAACTTTTAAACGGTTGGTGCTAGAGCTTTCATATTTCACATGTGTAATCCTTGTGACAAGACCTTCCTTTGGATACCAACAACTTTGACCCTTTGACCTTGGATTTTGACCTACTTTGGGAAAACCTTAACCTTGGCCATGACTTTTAAACGTTTGGTGCTAGAGCTTTCATATTTCACATGTGTAATTCTTGTGAAAAGACCTTCCTTTGGATACTAACAACTTTGATCCCTTGACCTTGACCTTGGAGTTTGACCTACTTTTTGGAAAACTTTAACCTTGGCCTTAAATTATGAACAATTGGTGCTAGAGCTTTCATATTTCACATATGTAATCCTTGTGACAAGACCTTTCTTTAGATACCAACAACTTTAACCCTTTGACCTTGGAGTTTGACCTACTTTTGGAAAACTTGAACCTTGGACATAACTTTTAAACGGTTGGTGCTTCGGCTTTCATATTTCACCTGTGTATTTCTTGGGAGAAGGTCTTTCCTTTGGCACCATTAATTATGACCATTTGACCTTGATGTTTGATATACTTTTGAAAAAACGTTAACCTTTTCCATATCTCTTTATGGTTGCTGCTAGGGCTTTCATACTTCACAGGTTTATTCCTCGAGACAAGGCCTTACTTTGGGTACCAATATATTTGATTTGCATTTGAGAAAGTTTAACCTTTGCTATAAGTTGCCATACGGGGGCATCGGTGTTTCACAAACACATCTTGTTTAATATTGCTTTACAAAAGTGTTGTTATCTGCAAATTTAGACATTAATTCAGAAATTAACGAACATTTTATAGGGGATTGAAAATTTGACTTAAATCTAAGTCTGTTTTATGAACCTTGGTGCCTGGTCTCTGACCAGTAGAGCTAAAAAGTAGAATAGTTTCAGATAATCATGTGAACTTTGCTCATTCAAACATAATACTATGTGCTTTCATTTCCATTCCCCTCCCCTCTTTTATTACAATTTCAAAAAGATATGTGTAACATATATTTTATTCTAATACTTGAAGCATGAAAATAATGTCATAATATAAAAGCACCATGTACACAGACTATAAAACTGTAAGTCAGCAAGGGCACCGCTAAGGGATACATGTATATATCTAATAATAGGGTGGAAGGATAAGAAATGACAACTTAAGCATAGTGAGAAAACATTTAACAACTGTAATTATACAATTTATATAAAAAAGTCAAAATAACAGTTTCCAGTGATGTTATTACTTAACCACTTGTCAAAAGCAAGCATTTTATAAGATGCCAGGCTTAAGTAAGAGCAAACATCACTCAAGTGTAAGATTTACCTCAAAACAAATATCACTTGCTGAAAGAGCTTTTTTTTTATGTGAAAGTCAAAGATTAGATTCTTGCTCTTTTGCAGTAAGTAAGATAATTAAACTTGAGGGATATAGTATAAGTATCATACTAGTAATCATGTCTAGAAAGTTGATTTTTTCTACTTTTCCATTCTTTCTTACACTTGTTAAGAAACTTTACTTATTCCAAATTTGATGACTTTGATATCAAAAAATGCCTTATTGCTTGCTAAAAAAAAATACCAAACTTCAACACCATAGAACAATCTTTAAAGAGCTATCATGCAAAAAATAAACCCTTTTGGATGAATGGAAAAGTGATTGACAAATAGTGATTAATACAAATGACCCACAAATCTGTGTGGAGCAATAATGAACACATCAAAAACAATAAAAATAGCAAAAAGTGGTTCATGATTGAACAATACTACGTGTAAATATTTTGGCAGTTATAGTCTTCAAAATCAATTAGGTTCTCAGAGATTCAAATCAAATCTCAAATAAAACTGTCAGTACTTTTGATTTCAGTAACTCTCTTGAAGATGTTGGTAATTTTGAGTGACCGGTGGGTACACCTCCAACACTTGATGTTCTTCTGAGGATGCACCTCGACTTCTACAATAGACACAGGTCAGAGCCACGCAGGAGATGATGCCAGTGATGACACCGAGGCCGGCCAGGATGATAGAATACTGTACTCCAACGCGGTAATCCACAATGAAAGGTAAATTGACTGGTACATTTTCTAGAATCTGTGAGAACTGGTCATTTGTCTTCAAGTTTGCATTGATCATCCGACCAACAAGGATGGATTCAGAGACCACTGAAAATGCAAAGTATGGTGACAAGATGAATTCAAACATCACTTCTATGACCCTATCACCTAAAATTTGTATTCTCTTTTACCTATATATTTATATTGTATATACAAGATACGAATCTTAAAATTATAGCTTAAGTTTTCAATTAGTTTGATTGTTCCTACTGGGAAAACATTATTACAAATAAAACACCAAAAAAGTGATCTTTTTTAGTTAGTAAAATTGATAAATGGGTAGGCATTAAATAATGAAATCTGACTTGAAACATATTTTACTGGTAGTTGTCAAGCACTGAAATACTTGTTAGACTGGATCTCATTTAAAAAATATTTTTGAGTGTGAATTCGTGGTATATAGGAGATATTTACTAATTTAAAAATTTCATTTGAAAGAAATATGCTGACTTCCAAGTATCAATATATTTACCTTGACCAAACCTGAAATTCAGAGATTTATAACACAAGCTTCCAGGGCAGAGGGTATTTTTTCTCTCTCTAGTTTTTTTCATCTTATTTCAGTGACCCTTACACTAACATTTATTTATTTATACATGTACACAACACATATTTTTTTACTGCAAGTTAAGCGTACCTCCAAGAAACACAAGAATGCCTCCAACTACAACTCGGGAGGTTTTGGGAAGGACAGCTCTTTGGTTCACCAGGAGCAGAACAAAGCCAGCACAGCATACAATGATTGCAAAGCAAGCCTCCAGCTGAATCTCCACAAAGTGAGCTGTAATATGTAAAAGATCATGAATAACATATCTAACTTAGAATTATTAAATCTAATTTATCTACTATCATAATGAAGAGTTTCCCTTTTTCTTTAAAAAATGTCATTCCTATTTTCATTAACTTAATTTCACAGTGAGATTGCAACATCAGATTTTAAATTTTTGATTTTAGGACAACAAGTCTATGCATTTGTAAAGGAAAATGCAATCATTATTATATTATGTAGATTGAAGTTTGATCAAACCATGCACTTGTGGACTCAAGAAAAAGTGTTGATAATATACTTTGAAGAAGTCCAGTGAAAATAAAATCATATCATTTAAACAATAAAACACTTTCTTTGCTTGTTAGTAAGGGGATCAATGTTGCAGCTGTTGCAGAAAAAAATGCATTATTTAATTTTTCTGCAATAGCTGCAATGTTAATTCCCGCACTAAAAACAAAGAAAGACATTTTATTGTTTATATTTATATCTGTACAAATAATCATTTAAAGTAAGATTTTGTAGATGAAATAGTGTTTTATTGACATGCACATCATTGTATGTTTCATTGATGGAACAGCCACTGCTCAAGAAATCTGTATATAGAGGTGATATGCTAAGCAGTGTTACCTGACTGATAAACGGCAATGGTTTTCTTAAGAAATAAAGGAGATAATATTTAGTGGATGTAAATATAAATATAATTTTTTAACATAACTGATAATGATATGAACAATAATGAACTTACGCATGCCCGGTGATGAGGCAGAGTTATCTTCCTTGGAAGAGGACAGAGAATCAGTCTTACACTGGTCAGAGGGGTAACACATCTGATAATAAAATATACTGAAGGCAGCCTTCATCTGAAATACATGCATAGAGAAAGCATGTCAGCTAAAATTGTAGAGCATGTAAGGGATGTACCCAGTAAGCAAAAATTTTTTTTTTCTTTTTGTAGCCTTTCCAGTATTTACAAATAACAAGAGGCCCAAGGGCCTTAACGGTCACCTGAGTATAATACAACAATTTAGAGGATCCATAGAGTATAAAATGAACTGAAAGGTGAAGCTTTGTTGCCTAAAAGCAAGAAAAATAGGGTGATCAGGATCAACAAAATAATTAGTCTAGTATTCATTAACAGTTCATAAATTAGATTCTAATCTGTTCCCCATTTATCACTATCACCATACAGTATATTAAATAGCAAACTATCAGTGCTTCTGTACTATTTTAATTCCTTGTTAAAATCTCTTTACATTGGCTTCTCTTGGTCTTTGATGAACATTTAAAAAGACAAGTTATTTTTGTCTCATTTTTATTTATCTATTACTTACAAGTATATCTGATCATTAAAACTATGAAAGTCCTTATGTATTATACAATAAACATTCTTGCATAATTCTCTTATTCCATTAACCTTTCAAGTACATTACTTACAGTGATTAATTATCAAAAGTAAATGGCAAAGGGGAATAACTCCTCTCAGTAGAATACAAATTAATAGAGCCCTGGTCAGGACCAGAACACTTGACCAAATGGTCCAGGTGTTCAAAAATCTGATAAAAATACTCTTCCTTATTAAAACTTTTACTCTTTTTGCCTCTGATATGCCCAGGTGCAGAGAAGATTTTAAAAGAAATAATGCATTTTTATTACAGATTCACTATATTATCAATAGAGCCCCCCCCCCACCCCCCTCCCCAGCAAGAAACACCAGATCCTCTCACCCTGGGACCAGAAGTTTGCTCATCATAAGTAATCACTTTGTTTATCTGCTTAACACTAAGAGTAGACAGGACTATTTAATAGAATTAATGCATTTTCACTATATTATCAAGAGCCCCACCCTTACACCAGCACATCTGACCCGGGGGTCATGCAATTCACTACTCTGGAAGAAGCACTCTTGCTCATCATAACTATACACTTCGCTTCTTTGCTTTTTAACCAGGAACAGAAAAGAATATTTTCAAAGAAATTTTGCTTTTTCACTATATAATCAACAGAGCCCCCCCCCCCCCCCCCGAACCCTTGACCCTGGGGCTATGAATTTCACAATTTTGGTAGAGTCACTCTTGCTTATCATAACTATGTATTTAATTTGTTTAAATAATACCCTGGGGCAGAGAAGAAGATTTTCAAAGAAATAATTCACCTTCACTATAGGATCTATATAGCCCCATCCTAACACCAGAACCCCTGATTACTGGGCCATGAATTTCACAATTTTGGAAGAGGCATCCTTGCTTATCATAACTATGTATTTCATTTGTTTAAATAATACCCAGGAGTAGAGAAGAAGATTTTCAAAGAAATAATGCACTTTCACTATATGATCTATATAGCTCCACCCTAGCACCAGAACCCCTGACCCTCGGGCAACAATTTCACAATTCTGGTAGAGTCACTCTTGCTTATCATAACTATGTATTTAATTTGTTTAAATAATACCCAGGAGCAGAAAAGAATATTTCCAAAGAAATAATGCACTTTCATATATGATCTATATAGCCCCGCCCTAGCACCAGAACCCCTGAACCTGGGCTATGAATTTCACAATTTTGGTAGAGTCACTCTTGCTTATCATAACTATGTATTTCATTTGTTTAAATGATACCCAGGGGCAGAGAAGAAGATTTTCAAAGAAATAATTCACCTTCACTATAGGATCTATATAGCCCCACCCTAACACCAGAACCCCTGATCCCTGGGCCATGAATTTCACAATTTTGGAAGAGGCATCCTTGCTTATCATAACTATGTATTTCATTTGTTTAAATAATACCCAGGAGTAGAGAAGAAAATTTTCAAAGAAATAATGCACTTTCACTATATGATCTATATAGCCCCACCCTAGCCCAGAAACCCTGACCCTGGGGCTATGAATTTCACAATTTTGGAACAGTCACCCTTGCTTATCATAACTATGTATTTAATTTGTTTAAATAATACCCAGGAGTAGAGAAGAAGATTTTCAAAGAAATAATGCACTTTCACTATATGATCTATCTAGCCCTGCCCTAGCACCAGAACCCCTGACCCTGGGGCCATGAATTTCACAATTTTGGTAGAGGGCTCAATGCTTATTACAATCATGCCAACAGTTTGACTGCTTGATGTCCAGGAGTAAAAAAGAAGATTTTTAAAGATAGCACTAATTTTGATGGTTTTAGCCCCACCCCTCAGGCCCCAGGGGGGCAGGGACCATGAAATTCACAACTTTTGTACCCTTTCACTCATTGATGCTATATGCCAAAATTGGTTGAAATTGGTTCAGTGGTTCAAGAAAAGAAGCTGAAAATGTTCAAAAGTTTACGTCTGACGACGGACGACGACGGACGAAAACAGATAGCAATAGGTCACCTGAGTGACTCAGCTGACCTAAAAAGTCTATTCTATATGTTTATCACTGACTGCATTGAAAATATATATCCCAACTTACTCCCTGTGGATACAATTCGTTGGTTATGTACACAACAAGCCATCCTGGAGTTAACATGGCAACCATCCAAAATGTCATGGTGATGCCAATAAGCACCAAGGAAATTATAGAAACTTTGGAAGCCATTCTCCTGCATATTAAATAAGTAAATGTGTTGTTAGTGTTTACACATATTGATCACTTTAAGTGATGTGTTCAAGATTAATATATGTGTTTGTTTGTGTGACAAAGTTGTTTTATTATCATGATTATTTCAGTCACACTTGAAAAAACACAAATGTTATATCTTTTAGAAAAATTGTTTTGGAATTGATAGTCAAACTTAAATTCCCGATTTCTCTTGAAGAAGAGGGCTAAGGTGTTACAAAGGAAAAACATAGGTAATCAGAGATTACAAAGCTCACTTCTACGAATGTTGTCTTTAAGTAAGGCAAAGTCCCACTAAACTAATAATCTAGTAGTGTGCATCCCTAGATGCAACATTTATGCAATTTTGGTCTGATATGGCTTGCTGCTTGGGAATGGACTTATCTAAATCTTAAAACTAGTCACTCATCCAGAAAATGCAAGTCAAATCCAGCATCTGAAGCAAGTTTGAGAGTGTTCGTCCCTTGATGTATCATCCATGCAAGTTTGGTTCAGATAAGCCTTATAGTTACTTGGAAATGAGATCTGCTCCAAAAACTTTAACCTGGTTACTCATCCGCAAAAATGTAGGTCAGGTCCAGCATCTGAAGCAAGTCCAGTGGTGTGCATCCTTAGACATATCATCCATGCACGTTTGGTCAATATAGGTCTTATAGTTACTTGGAAATGAGATGTGCTCCAAAAACTTTAACCTGGTCACTCATCTGGAAAATATAGGTCAGATCCAGCATCTGAAGCAAGTCCAATGGTGTGCATTCTTAGGAGTATCATCCATGCAAGTTTGGTTAATATAGGGCTTATAGTTACTTGGAAATGTCAGATCTGCTCCAAAAACATTAACCTGGTCTCTCATCCGTAATATATAGGTCAGATCCAGCATCTGAAGTAAGTCCAGTAGTGTGCATCCTTAGATGTATCATCCATGCAAATTTGGTCAATACAGGGCTTATAGTTACTTGGAAATGAGACCTGCTCCAAAAACTTTAACCTGCACCAAAAACTTTAACCTGCTCCAAAAACATTAACCTGGTCATTCTTCAGCTGAAATTGCAGCATCTGAAACCTTGACCGATACAGTGAAACACACTAGAGCATCCTCCATGCATCTCTGATTGATATAGAGCATCAAAGTATTTGAAAAGAAAATTGCTCCAAAAACTTTATTCTGGGACACTGACGGAATTGCATAAGCTCCCCCAACTTTGTTGAGGTGAGCTAAAAAAATGAGTGTCTTAGATATTGAAATAAACTTTCTAGATCTATTGCTTGTGTGCCAGGCTGGTAATATTTCAATGATTAAGTTATCAATTACAACACTGTACAATAAAATAATGAAATATTACTAGCTAGGCTACTTCAAGGTACTCTTGAGTTTATATAGTTCAGAGAATGATCATATTCAATACATAAAAATAGTTAAATTATTTTAAAATTGATGAAGTTGACAACTTCTCAGAATTAAAATATAATATTATTATATTAACTAATTTGTCCTTAAGATCTTATTACAATACAAAAATTAAACACTATATAGGTTTAAGTGTTACAAGGGATCACATTTTTATTCCCAATAGCGGGGATAGATTTTATGTGCTCCCAAGAAAATGTATACATAGTGTTAATTTTATTTATAAATAAATCAGGGTACATCATACATTACACTTATTCTAATGTTTAAATAAAATAGGCCTTCTTTTTGATTGAAACTCAAAATTCAACCTGTTTTACCAGAAAATCAGAAGGCCGAAGGATTATTTTTTTTAATACCGAAAACATCCCTTGTGTTACAATGTGTATAAACATAAATTTTGTGATTTCGACCAGATTCCCCTTACTCAGTGTACTGCAAGCATGGTAAAGTAATTCATTTTGTAACTAATTTAATACAGTAAATGTTAAACTACACGTGTAGACACATGTAGATCACTGAACCGTTCCGCTGGAAAGTCATTCCAAAACTTAATTCTCAACACGAAAAGGAGGGGGTTTACGGGAGAGGAAAGTGTATTGCGAAATACATGAAATATATATATGCAATTATACTAAAAATAAACTATAAACTATGACGTAAACAACACATTTTTTTTAATTGGTGCAGTAGTACTGAGACACTTCATCTTCCCTTTGTATATATCTACATCATATATCACATCGCCGGAACCCACGGTTTTCTCTCCGTTACACTTACACACATTCAACAAGAGATGTATATACAATGTAGGGTTACTATGGTATACGTCTCTGATTTAACGTTGATGGTAGCTGTAACGGAGTCGGAGAGAAAACCTTCCCGACGATGAATGCATATATCATCAAAATAATACATCTTACCTCAGATGTAACAACGTAATCGTACAATCTTACCAAATGCCTTTGTCCGCCAAATATGTGAACACACTGCGGGAAAACTCCCTTTATATGTAAACAAAGAACCCCAGACTCGCAATCGCAGACTTAGAGATCATTGATGCATGAACGACCCGCGGGGTTAGGCTTAAGTATCAAGAACAGACTTACGATTTGGCGGTTTTTGTTTTTAAATACAGTTATTTTTTTGTCTGGTAAGATGCTTGACATGATGAGAATGTGATCAATTAAGACTGCATCAGTCAGAATTATAATAAATTAAAATATGTGTACATCTGAGTTAATATATATTTTACATAAGATATTTAGCTGATTTGAGAATCCGATTCATCAACTACTGAATTATGAAGTTTACATCATTTTACATGATTTTCTTTACCCTATATTCACGTATAGGGTAAAGATTTTAAAATTTTAATTAATATATCATTATGTCAAATTAATACGGAGATCTTTATCCAAGTCTACAGCTTTTCATCGCAGCTTAAGGCGCTTAACTGAAGCTCAAAACATATTCCTTTGGCATAACAAGTATATATTTTTTAGAACGTCTATTATAGATCTCCCTTAATTCAGTTTTTAAAGCATTCTTAAGCATTTTTTATGAAATGAATAACTATCGATATACTGTTAATTGTTGTAAGGATATAAACCTAACAAGGAAAATCTAAAGTAAAATTCTGGTAATATAATTAATTTGTACAAGGCAGCTAGGCCCGTAGGAACCCAGGGAGGGGGGGGGGTACCCAATAACTAAGCCAGTATCTACTACAGAAAACAAGGTTAACTTAAAGTTGTGTCCCTCAATAATTGCCATTATAAGTATGTACTTTATATTAGAAAGCAAAGCTAATTTATGGTTACATGTATATGTCCCCTCAAATTCATGCAAGTCTGATGATCTTTTTTTTGAGCTTGTGAAGCATTTCTATCAATTATGCCCCCCTCCCCCAGCTGAAATTGCTTCCTACGGGCCTGCAAATGTATATCCCCCTCCCCCGGTAATTGATAACACAAACTATCTATTCGAATCAGATCCGGTAAAAGACATCCCCCCCCCCCTTTTCCGTGCTTCTGTTTGTTTGAATTTCATTTCCAATGCATCAAATTCATTTGAAATAATATATTTAGACAGAAAATGACTTAATGTTGATTTACTGGGTCGAGTGAAATGCATGAAACCTGCAGAACACCATAATCAATAGACAAAAGTAACACTCTCTAAAATTATTTATGCACAAATTATTAAAAATTTAGGAAAAAAAATGCTCCTTAAAAGAGCAAATCATGACAAGGCCAATGATCTTATACATGTATCTACACAATTTTTCTGACCGTAAAAGACATCCCCCCCCCCTTTTCCGTGCTTTTGTTTGTTTGAATTTCATTTCCAATGCATCAAATTCATTTGAAATAATATATTTAGACAGAAAATGACTTAATGTTGATTTACTGGGTCGAGTGAAATGCATGAAACCTGCAGAACACCATAATCAATAGACAAAAGTAACACTCTCTAAAATTATTTATGCACAAATTATTAAAAAATTTAGGGAAAAAAATGCTCCTTAAAAGAGCAAATCATGACAAGGCCAATGATCTTATACATGTATCTACACAATTTTTCTGACGGTAAAAGACATCCCCCCCCCCCTTTTCCGTGCTTCTGTTTGTTTGAATTTCATTTCCAATGCATCAAATTCATTTGAAATAATATATTTAGACAGAAAATGACTTAATGTTGATTTACTGGGTCGAGTGAAATGCATGAAACCTGCAGAACACCATAATCAATAGACAAAAGTAACACTCTCTAAAATTATTTATGCACAAATTATTAAAAAATTTAGGGAAAAAAAATGCTCCTTAAAAGAGCAAATCATGACAAGGCCAATGATCTTATACATGTATCTTCACAATTTTTCTGAACGGTAAAAGACATCCCCCCCCCTTTTCCGTGCTTCTGTTTGTTTGAATTTCATTTCCAATGCATCAAATTCATTTGAAATAATATATTTAGACAGAAAATGACTTAATGTTGATTTACTGGGTCGAGTGAAATGCATGAAACCTGCAGAACACCATAATCAATAGACAAAAGTAACACTCTCTAAAATTATTTATGCACAAATTATTAAAAAAATTTAGGAAAAAAAATGCTCCTTAAAAGAGCAAATCATGACAAGGCCAATGATCTTATACATGTATCTACACAATTTTTCTGAACGGTAAAAGACATCCCCCCCCTTTTCCGTGCTTCTGTTTGTTTGAATTTCATTTCCAATGCATCAAATTCATTTGAAATAATATATTTAGACAGAAAATGACTTAATGTTGATTTACTGGGTCGAGTGAAATGCATGAAACCTGCAGAACACCATAATCAATAGACAAAAGTAACACTCTCTAAAATTATTTATGCACAAATTATTAAAAAATTTAGGAAAAAAAATGCTCCTTAAAAGAGCAAATCATGACAAGGCCAATGATCTTATACATGTATCTACACAATTTTTCTGACGGTAAAAGACATCCCCCCCTTTTCCGTGCTTCTGTTTGTTTGAATTTCATTTCCAATGCATCAAATTCATTTGAAATAATATATTTAGACAGAAAATGACTTAATGTTGATTTACTGGGTCGAGTGAAATGCATGAAACCTGCAGAACACCATAATCAATAGACAAAAGTAACACTCTCTAAAATTATTTATGCACAAATTATTAAAAAATTTAGGAAAAAAAATGCTCCTTAAAAGAGCAAATCATGACAAGGCCAATGATCTTATACATGTATCTACACAATTTTTCTGAACGGTAAAAGACATCCCCCTCCCCTTTTCCGTGCTTCTGTTTGTTTGAATTTCATTTCCAATGCATCAAATTCATTTGAAATAATATATTTAGACAGAAAATGACTTAATGTTGATTTACTGGGTCGAGTGAAATGCATGAAACCTGCAGAACACCATAATCAATAGACAAAAGTAACACTCTCTAAAATTATTTATGCACAAATTATTAAAAAATTTAGGAAAAAAAATGCTCCTTAAAAGAGCAAATCATGACAAGGCCAATGATCTTATACATGTATCTACACAATTTTTCTGACGGTAAAAGACATCCCCCCCTTTTCCGTGCTTCTGTTTGTTTGAATTTCATTTCCAATGCATCAAATTCATTTGAAATAATATATTTAGACAGAAAATGACTTAATGTTGATTTACTGGGTCGAGTGAAATGCATGAAACCTGCAGAACACCATAATCAATAGACAAAAGTAACACTCTCTAAAATTATTTATGCACAAATTATTAAAAAATTTAGGAAAAAAAATGCTCCTTAAAAGAGCAAATCATGACAAGGCCAATGATCTTATACATGTATCTACACAATTTTTCTGACCGTAAAAGACACACCCCCCCCCCCCTTTTCCGTGCTTCTGTTTGTTTGAATTTCATTTCCAATGCATCAAATTCATTTGAAATAATATATTTAGACAGAAAATGACTTAATGTTGATTTACTGGGTCGAGTGAAATGCATGAAACCTGCAGAACACCATAATCAATAGACAAAAGTAACACTCTCTAAAATTATTTATGCACAAATTATTAAAAAATTTAGGGAAAAAAATGCTCCTTAAAAGAGCAAATCATGACAAGGCCAATGATCTTATACATGTATCTACACAATTTTTCTGAACGGTAAAAGACATCCCCCTCCCCTTTTCCGTGCTTCTGTTTGTTTGAATTTCATTTCCAATGCATCAAATTCATTTGAAATAATATATTTAGACAGAAAATGACTTAATGTTGATTTACTGGGTCGAGTGAAATGCATGAAACCTGCAGAACACCATAATCAATAGACAAAAGTAACACTCTCTAAAATTATTTATGCACAAATTATTAAAAAATTTAGGAAAAAAAATGCTCCTTAAAAGAGCAAATCATGACAAGGCCAATGATCTTATACATGTATCTACACAATTTTTCTGACGGTAAAAGACATCCCCCCCTTTTCCGTGCTTCTGTTTGTTTGAATTTCATTTCCAATGCATCAAATTCATTTGAAATAATATATTTAGACAGAAAATGACTTAATGTTGATTTACTGGGTCGAGTGAAATGCATGAAACCTGCAGAACACCATAATCAATAGACAAAAGTAACACTCTCTAAAATTATTTATGCACAAATTATTAAAAAATTTAGGAAAAAAAATGCTCCTTAAAAGAGCAAATCATGACAAGGCCAATGATCTTATACATGTATCTACACAATTTTTCTGACCGTAAAAGACACCCCCCCCCCTTTTCCGTGCTTCTGTTTGTTTGAATTTCATTTCCAATGCATCAAATTCATTTGAAATAATATATTTAGACAGAAAATGACTTAATGTTGATTTACTGGGTCGAGTGAAATGCATGAAACCTGCAGAACACCATAATCAATAGACAAAAGTAACACTCTCTAAAATTATTTATGCACAAATTATTAAAAAATTTAGGGAAAAAAATGCTCCTTAAAAGAGCAAATCATGACAAGGCCAATGATCTTATACATGTATCTACACAATTTTTCTGACCATGCCAAGAAATCCCGTCCATTTTTCCACAGCGATGGAGTCAATAAAAGTGTAATTGATGCAAATCACCCATATTCCCCTAACGCTGGCGAGACAATTAACGGCAGCAGATTTGAGGGGGTGGATCCTAAGTTTTCCGTTTTCTTAGTCAAAGAAAAATAAACTTCTACCCCAGGAAGTAGCCTCCTATGCCCTGAAAAAAATAGTTCCTGTCAAAAACCTTTATTTATTTACAAAATATGTAAAATGCACTAGACACAGGTACCAAAATTGTAAAAATAGACTGGAAGGAAGTTAAAAAAAAATTCAAAAGGAAAAAATAATAATTTTATATGTATGGAACTACAATTGACTAAGTTCATTTTCATTGGTCAATTACCGCTACGATACCTTAATAAGGCGCGAGACTTCCACAACAACCAAGTTCATCGTGCCCGATGTTAATTTATACTAGGAAAAAAATATTTTGATATATAAACACTGAAAAATTTGAAAGGCGTCTAATTCTTACTGAACAATTAATTAGTTCACTACAATTTATTTCACTTTCTTTTTCTTCTTTTTTTTTTTTTTTAGTTTTTTAACCGCATATGATTTGCATGGAAAATGCCCCCCCCCCCCCCTTAAAAAAAAAACAACAGGAAAAAAGGTGCAAGGGCTTCTAAATAGTAAGTATTCTAGCTTTAATTTCAAACCAGTAAAACTTAAGATCCTTCCCTCAAAACTGCTGACATTAATTGCCTCGCACACATCTCCCTGGGGAAAAATCACAGATTAACGCTAATTCCGCTTTTATTGAGTTCGCTCTAAAACTAGAATGCGTACCTTTTCTTGGCATGCTCCAGGCAGGAATGTACATCTCTTTTTTTCTTTCAGTATGTCATGCGCGGATCTAGGTGGGGGGGGGGGGGGGGTCGACCCCCATCCCCTTGGATTTTGCAGGGTTATTAAATGTATATACTGAAGAAATTAAATGGAAAAAAAATACTTAACACCCCCCCCCCCCGAAACGTGCACCCCACCAATATCGCCACGAAATATGTTTTTCACGATTTTGAATGGACATTACTTTTTTTTGTTGTTGATTTTTTGTTTTTTGTTTTGTTTTGTTTTGTGTTGTTTTGTTTTTTTTTGTTTTGCTCGTCAAGAAATTTCTGAGTTGGAAATTTGGGGGGGGGGGGGTCCTGGATCCGCGCCTGAATGTAATAATAAGTCTATAATTACAAAATATAATTAAAAACATTAAAAAACATTACTTGCTATAACACATATTACAACGAACTGACGTCAATATTGGAATTGATAGCACTACTATTTTAAAATTTGACGTGCTAGTAGACTTGTTGAATTCTCGTTTTTTAACACATCAGTACTTTTACGATAGAAAAAATGTTTTAATGCAAAGTAAATACAGAAGTAGGCAATAATGCATTCTGAAAGAGGAAACAAGTCAAATCAGCTAGTCAGGTCAACGTATTAATATTCAAGATGGTTAAATAGGAAGTTGTTTCATCACACGGTTATGACTTTCCGTTGAATGAGATTTCCCTCCAACAACTGACAGAGACACTGCTTTTTAAGCCAGGTATTATGGCGGTTATAATTGTATACACTTAGCTGGAACCATTCCGCCAAAAGTCCTAAACACTGCAGTTGTTTCAATTTTTCGTCGATTTTCTCCGCAGCCATAATCTAAAGAAAATGCGACATGTTTTGAAGTTAAAGTGGTTAACGACCATATGTACATGTAGCTTTTAAAATCAATACCTGAAATATTTATTATACAGACTATGCATTCAAGCATTTTCGTTTCAAATTGCTGAATACCATATCCATTTAATTAATAACAGTAAAACGATCTTAATTTCATGAGGGAGGGGGATTCCCGAGTAATATGAACTATATACAAGAAAAGAAACTTTATTTTGCCTATTCAGACGTATAACATGCAGAGCTACAAAACTAACTACATAGTTTTTAAGTGAAATGTATACTGTGTAAATGGTGTATAAAGAGGCTTTTTCATAATACCTGAATTTCCTCTTCATCCAATTGCAAATGAAAATGCTTTTTGTCAAGAAGAATAGTAACATATTCCTAAAAGAAAAGAATGAAGGATATCTTCAGTAGCCATTTTTATGTACATTAATTAAAACATGTTAATTTAGAGTGGGATTTTTTCAAAGAGCTGGGTAATTATGTACCTGGCAAGACGCTGTATTGTAGCGAATTAGCATCAACTGATGTTTCGTTAAGGCGATTTTTTACAGCTTTTCTAAATACTTCGTAAACTACATGTTTTTGCTAAAAACGTTTCCTTCCTTTCTTTTAAGAATAGCTTTTAATACAAAAAATTAAATTATCAAAAAATAAGAGATTGAATAAATGTAGCATTATATACCTTATCATATGCACATGGCTTGAGCATGCTCTACGTACGAACAATTTCTAAAACGAGGCAAGCTATTGACAAACAAGTTGATGAAACAACTTTTTCAACTGTTGATAATTGTAATGACACGGGAATATCGACAGTCTCATTTAAAGTCATCATTTCGGACGTTCTATGGTCGGTACAATGACCTTGTCAGCAAATACAATTTATTATTATCTCGAATGCTGACTGACGTTATTATTGTTATTATTCAATTATTTACACACTTTACTGTCTACAGATTTTTCCGTTTGTCCAAACATGACAAGGAGCATACGGCGGGTGTGACTGGTCGATAAGGATGCTTACTCCTCCATGGCACCTGATCCCACCTTTGACGTTTCTAGAGTTCCGTGTTTGCTCAACCCCCTATTTGCATTGTTTCAATGGACTTTTGAGCTCGATAAATGTTCGTTATCTCCATATATCATCGTGACTCCAAATGATTTAAGAATTAAAATATTGATTGCAAAATTGACCTCGGCACAATTCCGTAATTTTTTACAGAGACGGAAAGTAAATTAAATAAATAATGGCCTGAGTACAGAGGATACACATGGCTGAAGAACAATGGAATCGTCATACACAATCAAGCATTTTGTCTCCCGGAAATACTTTTTGTTTACTAATTGCCACAACTTCTTTCGTATGATGTTTTTAATCTGCAGTTGGAAAAAAGTATCCATCAAATTACAATCATTATACTTTCAATCAATCAACTTGGAAAAGAATACGCATGATGAAGATGATTACCTTTTTTCGTAAGATGAATATTCCTAAGACAAAAATGATGTATAGCACGAACCCAAGAAAGACTGCAAGGGCGGATACAGAATTGGACATGATCCTGATATCTCTACTGACTAGTACAGCCATGTTTTGCACCATCAGTGTAGACGACACAACTATAGCAGCCAGGAGAACTGCTGCAGCGTGTGTAAATTTAGTAAGAACAAAAATCTTGTAGAACTTCAGAAGCTGATGGCCTGACACCAACGATACAGCCGCTTCGAATTGTTCTTCACACTGAAAACAGTACAACTCAATGAAATATAGGAATGCTTGAACTTTCGATTATTAATTTAAGGATTTAACTTCCTAGGATTGAACTTTTATATTAAATTACGGATTTCAGGATGGTGAATTCTGTTAAATACAAATATTGTCTTTAAAAGCACTGAATAGGGCATAACCTCAAATCTGACAAATTTTATCAAGGAAATCTGAAATAATTTATTATAAAAGAAAATGTAACAAAATTAATCCTATATATATATATATATATATATATATATATATATATATATATATATATATATATATATATATATATATATATATATATATATGATATATTATATATACATATATAGTGCCGAAACAGAGTTGTTTTTTGAATGCACAGGAGGATTGCATCAATTACATGTACAATACATGTATATTAAAACTGCGTGGTGTAAATTCAGAGATGTACTTGATAGAAAATGGTTATAAAGTGTTACTCTCTTACCTTTTCATGAATATTTTTCAGATACTCTCGCTCATTATAAGTAAAGCTTTCAGTTTCAAATACATAGCCTTTTTCAATGTATGCCCCGTTTTGATTCTGGATTTCTTCTGCGGTTAATTCTGTTTATTGCAAGAAAAAAAGAGTCGTATTAAATCTCGAATATAAATTAAACTCAGTTATAGACACGTCCTCGTGACCTTTGAATTTTCACCACTATATCAGCAGCATAATTTGTCTGCATAACGAATTCGTAAAAAATAATGTATCGTGAATTCGCAATAAACAAAATACATGTATCTTAAAACTGATCTTAATTACTGGAACCCTGAAGAAACATCAAAGTTTATGCAAAGTAAAATACAATTTAATATCAAAATCATACGTGTTAAATATAATTTCAATATCAATTAATTACTTGAATAAAAAATGTTGTTTTTAACACACTGCATTTTGTGTTATTGGAACCTTAAAATTTATTATAAAAGATATAACAAAAAACAATTATTGTTAACTTTTTTCCATAGATGCTTTAAAGCAATTTAAAAAAAGGTTCCGCAAGTTTAAAAAAAACTTTAGGGGCAAACACAAAAGTTGGATGCTTGGTTTGATACACATTTTTGGCTATTGAAAAAAAAAAACACTGATTCTTCTTTACTGCTGCTCTTTAAACTCTCTCTCTCTCTTCTTTATATAGCAATTGAGGCTTCCCCCTTCCACTTAACTTTCCGAAATGATTACTTTTGGCATTGTTTTAAATTCTTCTGTACTTTTTTTTACAAGTGAAACGATCTCGTCCGGTAATCTTCTTAGAATGGAAATTAGTTACAATTTTACATACAATATATATTTTTATGTTTAGAATTACATGCAAATATGATAATGTTAATTTAAAATATTTTCCTGCAGAATTCAATTGTCTACAGCAAGAATTAATGAGGCTCATTTAAATCCGTTAATATTTAGGGAAATGTTTACCACCCCGTTCAAGTTCAAAGATATCAGATGTGATGTACTTGAAGTACATGTGTTTAAAACATACCTTGTTCACCTTGAATTAAAATTCCATCTACGGCCTCTGAAACAATTAATTCAAAACGTATCATAAAAACATGCGTTAAATGCATACTATACAAAAAATGTTTTTACAAAAAAATATTTTATCAAAATCTCTAGATTACTTGAATATAAACCTGAATGGTAGTATGCATCCATTATCTTTGCTGGTACGTCTTCTTCCTTTTGTGCATCTATATACCTGTACCTCTTCAGAAATTTTAAGGATGGCGTATCCTTCATGCCATCAATTGGGCGCAATAGAACAGGTATAATCTTAAGTTTTTCTCCGCTAGAGTAAGCTAATTGAACAGCCTCATAGGCTTCTGTCATACACCAGTGACTTTTAATATAAGCAGGGCTCAGAGCTATTAATACTCTGATACTTTTTGTCATTTCTGTATGAATATTGTCATCCAAACGTTTTCCAGCCACGAAATCCCTTTCAAACTGCATGCACCTGAGAAAGAATCTTTTCTCCAAGTCCTCGCATATCTTATTTACTTCTTCTATATCTTCGGAAGAACATGAAGTGAAAATATGATACTTTTTTCCCGGGGGAAGCCCTCGGAAAGTATTTTGAATTTCACTACTGACACTAGGAAAAACATCTATCTCTTCTTGAGAGTCTGGTGTACATTCCAAAGGAATTTTTACACAGGTCTCGCTATCGAGATGATTTTGAATGCTGATAGGATTGGATTTACACGTTTCGTTAAAGCTTATTATTTCTTCACAATTTTCTCCTTTGTATTCACTCATTAAGAGACTGTCGTTCTCCGTAACAGATTCATCTGACATCTTGAAATGTTTTCACTCTATATTGATACGAAGTATATATCACAATACCTTTTTGAAATAAAAGATATATCGTCTGCAATTATTGATTTGATTTCATTTGAAACACGTCCTTATATATATTAACAGTAGCAACGCATATATGCGCTGTCAGTTTCTGAAAATGAATGAAAATTGAAAATAGATCACAAAAAGAAAGAGGAAATTCCTAGAATGCTATTTACGTAACAAGGTAGAAACCGTTAATATATTTTTAGAAATACCTGTATGTAAAGAAAAATGGATGTTTTTCTATTCTTCTTGGCGCTTTCCTACTTGGTGAAGGTAAGACATATTTAATATAACCTTGAAGTTTACTGGTATATTTTGCATGTTCACTTGCATTAATAATCAAATTTTAATCAATATATTTATTGCCCCAAAATCATTTTTTGCAGACTACAGAGAAGTTATGATTTTAAATGTAAATACTATTTAAACCCCTAATCAAGTTTTTACCTGTCATCTAAGTCACTCGGATGATCCGTTGCTATGGGTCCATCCGTCGTTGTGCGCCTTTCTCAATTCTGTAATTGTTATGACTTTAAATGTAAATACTATTTAAACCCCTAATCAATAAGTCCCCACGGAGTTATTACGGCGTTGTTAAAATTTTAAAATCGCAGTGGAATCGCAGGGAAATTGCACAAATTTCTGTAAAATTTTTACAATGTGAAGATGTCACGGCGTCCCTACGGCGACCCACGCGTTTCTACGGCGTTCTCGCGGAGTGCTACTGCGTTTCCACGGATATCTCTTCGCGATTGACTGCGCTTGACCCGCGGAGCTTTCACGGCGTGTTAGGAGTTGTCAGCTCGAGGTCACGGCGTTCTCACTGCGCTGACTGCGTTCACAATACGTTCACAAGGCGCTCTTCACCATGGGTATATATTCAGAAGGAATGTAACACATTTTTTTTAAAAGATTCAAGTTACATGATGAAAAGACTTCTACTTATGCCAAGAAATATTCTTTTATTAAAACCATCTATTTGAATAATTTAGTACTAAATTACTGATAGTTTATTATTAAAACCCTTCATTTTTCAATTACATAAATTCAGATGTGTTTTTGTCTGTTCTTTTATTTTATTATGAATGTATAGAAAAATAAACACATTGAGAAGGTGTTATAAAATTTAAGTAATTCCACCGCAATTCCACTAAAGCAACAGAACAAGTTCTGGTGTAATTTTTCATGGTCAGGAGTGGAACAAATACGTTAGAATTAATGCTGATCAAATATGAGGCCATTGCTCTTGTTTTGTGAGCTGACTGACAACGCTCTAACAACGCCATGAAAGCGCATTGTGATCGCCAACGGACGCGGTAGAAACGCCAAGGTAGCGCAATGATCGCAGTGGCAACTCCTTGTTGTCGCGGTGTAATCGCAGTTAAAAAAATCACAAGACAATTAATCTCATTAGAAGCGCCGTAAAAGCGCGATAGAAACGCAGTGACATCTCCAAGGACTCCGCGAGGTCTCCGTAAAAGCGCAGTCTACTATCACTGTGTTCATGCTGCGATCACGTGCGTCTTTACAGCGTGCGTACGGAGCTCCCAATGCGTTGTTGGAGATCTCACCGCGCTGCTACGGCGATCATACTACGTATCTACTCCGTTCTTATCAGACCGCGATCACACGGCGCGTACTTTGTGCATGCCCAAAGTACGCGCCGTCCCCTGGCATTCTAGGAGACCCCACGCGACCCTACAGCGTTCAGTGGAGATCTCGACGCGTTAATTGTCACGGCGCTGTAGGAGACTCTACTGCGCTCGCCTCGGCGTTTTGCATTTTTTATCGATGCCGTGCGATCGCCGTGAGGACGCAGTCCCGGTGTGACAGGGGTTTTAGTCACTCGGGTGATCCATTGCTATGGGTCCATCCGTCGTTCTGCATCTTTCTATAATATAACTTTTGAAAATTCTCGCAAAGTAATATGAAGTTTCTATGGATAAAAAGAAACAAAAATTGTGATTTTTTTCATTGTTCCCTGTGCAAATAAAGGTGAAACACAAAAATTAAGATCCATGTGATCTTGTGAAAAAGCAAGATTCAGGCGCACAGGGTATCGCTGAGCTAATAATATCTTGAAATCTCATCTGTGAGTATAAACATATGACTCTAAATACTAATAAATTTATGAATCTAAGAAAAATTACCCATCTTGCAATGATTATTAGAAAGCATTCTGAGAGTATTGCATTTATTTAGCAATACTAGTTTCCTACCGGTAAGTGTAATCTGGTTCCCGTTAAAAATTGTAAATGCCATAATTTCGTCAAAAATCAATGAAGCGGAACGAAATGCAAACGTGATCTATAACTAATCAAGATACACGTACTCACATACCAAAAATCAGCTCAATATCTGCAAACGTTTAGGAAAATGGTGCGGAAAACCAAATGGGACAGACAGACAGACAGCTAGGCGGACAGACAGACGGACGGACAGACTCAGAAGAAACCTATAGTCCCCTCCGGTTTCACCGGTAGTGGACTAGTAACGAGATAAGAGTTTATTGACCAGTTCAGTGGGTTTATATTATCATATATTAGTAAAATTGACATCCATTAAATATTGATATAGAATTATTTTCCTGTGTTTGTACTTCCTAAATGCCAAGAAATCGTAATAAAGTTAACAGGTACAATGTATAAATGTAAACTTTGCAAATAATTAATAGGAGTTGGGGTTGATACACATGAATAAAATATCTTCGACTATGTTCTCCAATGTTTTTTCTTCCTAGTTTACTCAAGCAATTAGACTACATTTGTATTTGCAAACAAAAACTTACAAATTCAATCCTTTTCAGATTAGTACACCAAATCAATTACTGATACAATTAATTTCAGATATTGACTGCATTTTGCTTACCATCAGAGGTAAGAGTGGAAAACAAAACTGAATGTATGAAATCCTGTCCATGGAAAACATCCATGTTTAGACAAATATGCTACGACGAATGTCCTATCAACTCAAATGAAATTCAAACAGAGCTTGGAACATTTTGTAACATAGAGCATGATTTTGAATGCCAACGCGCGTCTTGTACGGATAACTTTCCTATGTGTTACAGAATGAACTGTTTAAAGACATGTCCAGAGTATGCAGTTCAATTTCAAAACAACTGCATTCTGAAATGTCCCAGCACGCACTCTTTTATGGTTTCCACAGATTGTGAAGGACCTTGTCTAACAGGAAACAAAACATGTTTCAGTTCCTGTCCACAGTCTCATCCGTTTTTATTTCAAACACCAAGGTCCAAACATTGCCTGCAACAGTGTCCTCAATATACTTTTGAAGATGCAGTTAATAAAACGTGTCACCTAAATTGTCTAAGTAAAGAACCGTTTTTATACAATAGAACCTGTATTGAGACTTGTCCTTCATCCAGTCCATTCGTATTAACATTGACCACAGAATATAATTCAATCTCTCAATGCTCTGACTCTTGTTTAAAAAATGATGTTGTGGATGGAGAATTTTGCGTCAATGCTTGTCCAAAAGGAAAACATTTATTAAACAATACTTGTGTAGAAAACTGTCCTCTGTCTCATCCTTTGATGTACCCAAACAAAGAAGGAATTTCTATAAGTTCTATAAGAAACTTTGGCAAGGCAGATTTCATGTGTGTTAATTCCTGCAATTTGGAAACAAATTCTATTGTCAAATACAACTTGGAATTCGATAAGAAGTGTTTGAATACGTGTCCGCAAAATTCACATTTCGCCTATAATGGCTCTTGTCTTTCGCTTTGTCCCTTGTCGCATAGATATAATGTTGATTACAACAATTACTATCTATGTGTGGCATCGTGTCCTAATGACAAGTTCATTTCCAACGAAACGAATTGTCGTAGCTCCTGTCCAGCAGAAGAAAATTTTATGCATAATAAAACTTGTTACAAGCAATGCCCATTAGAAGCCAAATATCGAAAGTTAAACATTTATTTATCTCAATATGAATGTTTTGAAAATTGCCCTGAAAACTCTCCTCTGATTTTCAATCACACTATATGTATGGATAAATGTCCAAATAAGGCAAAATACAAAAGTAATGGAACATGTGTTGCACAGTGCCAAGACGAGCTAAAATATGCAATAGAGATACGTACAAGTTATGGATTTTATTTCCAGACGACTGAGTATTCTTGTGTTAAAAACTGTCCAAAAGAATATATCGTTTCTGGGAACAATTGTGTTAAGGAATGTCCTCATGACAAAAATCATGTTTTTAATAGCACTTGCCTCAATACATGTCCAGCTACATTCAGCTTTAAAAAACTTGAAGGAGGTCATTACAAATGCATTGCAGCTTGTCCTTCGGAAACATTCGTTTATAACAATTCGAATTGTGTGTCTACTTGTCCACCCGAAGCTCGTTATCAAAATAACAAAACTTGCGTTGCGAATTGTTCAGATGAACTGAAGTATAAATTTGATAATTTTAGCACTATATCTGTGAACTGGAGAGATAAAAAGAACATATATCATTATTTCTGTCTAACAGAATGTCCATCAAATAGACTCTACTACCTTGATAACTGTGTTAAGGAATGCCCAAAGGAAGCAAATTATCTTTTTAACAAAACATGCATCACATCATGTCCAAAAAGAAGTAGCTATGGTTTTTTAACTGGGAATTACTACACCTGCTATGATGACTGTCCTGCTAACACGTATGTATACAATCAATCCCTCTGTGTTTCCGTGTGTCCAAAGGATAAGAATTTCGAATTTAACAATACATGCTTTGACAGATGCCCAGATTCAAGTGATTTCATATTTCACGATGGTTCATATTTTAAATGTATGAATTCATGCACCTCTTTGTTAATGCTTAACAAAACATGTTACAAAAACTGTCCTGCGGAGGCCAAATTTCAGGATAATGGATACTGTGTCCAGGAATGTAGAGACGAAAAAAGGAAGTACAAATTTAAAAATGTTACCATAGTTTCCAGCAATCAGAAAATAGATAAATATTATTGTTTACATAAATGCCCTGTTAACACATTTGATTTAAATTTCACTTGTGTTTCTCACTGTTCTCCGGATACACTTGAACTGGACAATAAATGTGTCCAGTCTTGTCCAAATGATAGATCACTGAATTATACAACGATCAAGGGGAAACATTCCTGTGTGTATTCCTGTCCCTATCAAACATTTAAGTTTGAACGGAATTGCTTCGATCAATGTCCATCCAGTTTTCGGCACCATCTTGGCACGTGTAGACTAGAGTGTCCACAATCACATCCATACACAGATATTGTGACCCAAAAGTGCTTAAGCACTTGTGAAAATAATTTTGTAATTGTGGATAACAATGTTTGTGATAAAAAGTGCCCACATGATAAACAATACATTGAGAAAAAAACGTGTGTGAAATCTTGTAGGAATCCAAATTCATTTCTTCAAGTGGCCAAGCAAGGAACATTTTGTCATGATAAATGTCCTCATCATTTGCTCCTTATGGAAAACAAAGGGACCTGTGTAGAGAAATGTCCAGATAATAAGCTTATAGTTGATAGTGTATGTCGATCCCTATATAAATGTCCAAACCATGCGTATCTCGAACACACTGATGTTGGCAAAAGATGCACAAATAGATGTTCATTTACGTTTTACTTGGATGGAAGCCATTGTGTCAAAGAATGTCCTCCAGAAAAGGTGATTGTTAACGCAATGTGTGCAGATGAATGTCCGCCGAGTCATCCGATAACTTACAAAGATTTCGGATCTTCCAAACCACGTGTTAAATGCTACGCAGTTTGTCCTAACAACTATGTGCTGAATGGCACAACATGTATAGAAGAATCTGATTGTCACAAAGCGAAACATTTTTCATATGAACATATCTGTTACGATGCTTGCCCAGGTGGTACAGGTCTCTCTGGAGATTTCACATGTGACTCCTTATTGAAATATATATTAATTACTATAGTGCTCCTTATTCTCACAATGGTTTTGTTTGCTGTATTTTATTATGTAACTTGTTTTACTGGCTGCAAACCTAAGAAATTAAAAGAAACAAGGGTACAGAAAATAAAGACCCACTTTCAGGTAAAGATATTTTCCCTACATGATTGATTTTTTTGAGCTGGTTGATGAATAATTCCCTTGAAAAGTACAGACTAGTATTTAAAAGATTATGTAATCTTATTTTCTTTGATAATCGTTGTTGTGAATTTGCAATGCAACTGTAATGAATAATACCTTTATATGTTGTTTGCAGTTGGTGACTCGAAACAAAAACAAGGAGAAGAATACGAAATACATCATAAATTTTAAGAAGGGAAAGCACGAAACGGCCGAAATTCTAGAAGTGAACAACACCAATCGAACTGATACAGATAATGATCTTGAAGATGTGGTGGAACTAAATGATGGATTCAAACCTATTTCTTTTCGGAGGCGTAATGTATAATATATATGAAAGGTAGATTAAATAATTTTCCTTTAAGATAATTATCAAATAATTTAGCTTAAGTTTTTTTACAGCGATTTGAAAATAATTCAAAGAAAAGATGCGGTTTCAATACTCTTCTGGCCCCATCTCTTACCTTAATATGAAAGTGATGCAGGAAATTAAAACTCATGCTTTCTGAACAGTAATTTTTGAAAAGTTATAATTTGCTTTCTCTTTTTTCTCAACAACAACGGAGAGGCTGTAAATTGTACCATTCAGATATATGTAAGAGGTGAAGATAACGAACAGTGATCAATCTCATAAACACAGTAGACCAAACGAATTGTGAACAAGGCAAAAACAAGGACTCCTTTGAAACAAGAGAGGTGGGATCAGGAGGAGTTACCATCCCCTGTTGACTGGTCACACCCACCGTGAGCCTTATGTATTGGTCAGGTACATGGAGAACCCCGTAGTCAAATTTAGGATAAAAGCAAGGACCTAAGAGATGGCATGAAACATGTCAGCTATGGGTTTTATTTACAAACAAGGTCATTATAACGGCGGCAGAATTTGCGAACAGATGGCTTTAAACTGGATTGTTGAAATCTATATTTCAAATCTTATTTTCAGTAGCGTACCTCGGTTTAAAAATTGGTCGTACTCAGAGCATGCTCTTGCGTATGGAATCAGTTGGGAGACAAAAACGCAATATTCAAGTAAAGTTGGAATATTACTTCATAAATAAGGGAAGTTGATGATGGAAAAGCTGAAGTCATCCCGTTTCTCATACAGTTTAGTCATTAGTTGGCCATTATGGTCTACAGTCAGTAAAACATCCAAACATGAAACAGATGTTTTGGACTCTGTAGTGCCTTTTATTTCGAGTTCACTGGGATATATATCGAGTTGACACATGAATGAAAGTTACTCCATATAATGTAAATTGGTGAAACGTCGTCGATATATCTAAATGCTGAGTTGAAGGCCACAGGATGTTTTTTCTTCTCTCTTCCATTCTTATTGAGGAAGCAACTGTCTATGATGTCAAAAAGCCTGCTCTTCAATTTATCGTGAGGAATGATTGGCGTATAAAGCGTAGAAAAGTCATATGTTTTGATTCGATTGATGTTTGAAAAGTTATGAGATTTTAAATTCCACATTTGAATTACTAGTACACCACTTTTTTAATATGTTGAATCACAATATGTCTAAAGTTTCTCCTTCATGGCAGTTAAATTTAGGGACTTGGTTAAACCTGCTATATCTCACGTCTCTGTGATAGAGTTGTCTCTCTTTGAACAGGTCTGTATAGGACTATGTTCCTGTAAATTAGGGTGATTATATTTTGATAGAAAATTTACTAATGAACTTTTTTCATACATATTTACATGTTTTATAACTTTATAGCTATTAGTTTTCAAAGTTCAGGAAGGAGGTATGTTAGACTGATGTTATGTCCACCAGAAAAGTATCGTTGACGAAACTAGTGCTAATATTAGATAATTGTGAATTAAGAATTATTTTTCATGTTAAATTTTTAGTTGCATATGTTGTTTAAGCTAATGTTTAACTTTTTAATTTATTGATTGAGTTTATTACTTTTCACAACGTTGTTTTAATTTATTTATTTTAAAACAGAAATAGCTGAATATGGATATAACTTTTCGGAAAATCACTTTCTTTGTACACGTAGGTCGAACAATATTGAAAGCATATCTTTAAAAGATAAAATCGATGTATAGTTTAGAGCTTCATTCTAAATATCTCTCTTTCTTAGAAGTTTTCGGGGATAAGTTGATTATTTCATTGTCGTCTTTTGAAATTTTGATAAATTGACAGAAAATAAGACAGTGTCCTCCGTGGTGTTATAATTGTCAGAAATAGAAACTGTAACAAAAATATGTAATTTTGATGCATGTTTGTTCAATTATGTTCAATTTTGGTTGTAGATATGTTCAGTTCAGTGGTTGAACTATAATTGTTGACCTTTGCACCGTCTACTAGTGCTGTGAACTTGTTTCTCCAGATTAAAAAAAAATAAACATTTTAACATCACCACACAAAGTATCTTGTCTTCTCTCTACCACCTGTTTTTAATGCATTACAGAATCTAAAATCTAAACAACACTAGCTGCAATATGTAGATCAAACATTAAGAAAAAAATATTTTAAAAGTGAATTGCGTGAAGATATTGTTTTAAAAAAGTACCCAATTCTTTAGAAAATTATCTGTCAGAGGATGAATTACATTCCAGTGGTAGAGTTATCATTCTTTGAAAAAATTTGATTAGAGCGAAATTTTATTGTAATTATGGATTATTATTAAATTTTAATTGTAGTTTTATGCGTTATAGCTTGAATTAGGCATATACTCTGTATAGATTAATTATTTAACCAGTTAATTTTCTTCTTAAGTAATTAATTATGAATAGTCAAACCCTATTTCAATGGGAGATAATTAAGAATTATTGAAAAATTAATATTAGTAGTATTTTTTAAAAAAAAAAAATTCTTCTCAAGAACCACTGCATAAGCCAGAAAAGATAAAACTTAAATGAAAGCTTCATTATCTAATAGATTTAAGTTTGTTCAAATCATGACCCTCGGGGGTAGGGTGGGGCCACATTATTTATTTAATGACCTCTTGGGGGGGTAGAGTGGAGCCACATATTATTTATTTATTTATTTTGCTACATGATAAAAGTATCAGTCATTTAAGAAAGGTTTTATACCTTGGTTGTTTTGATCCGAGAAAGTCAAAGTAATAGCAAATTTTTAAGTCGCTTTTCATTATAAAAAATGCCTTAGTTTGTAATGTTTTTGTGAAAAAAACCTCGTCCGTTTAATAACATTAACTTTGTAACAAACAAAATGGATTATATTAACTATAAATACTATACATTCCATTGTAATCATTTTTGTAATCGTAGTCGTAAATAGAATTTGCATATTTATTTATTTTGATATGTTAATTGATCAACTGCTTTCTTCATCCGTCCATACTGACATGTAAGCTTTCTTTTTTCCCCATAAAAACACTTATGCTGTTTTATATAGAATTATTTTATTATCCATACATGTGTTTGTTATCCATGATTCTCATGATTGTACATGATTTTCTCCTTCGCATAAAGTTGAACAAAGGAGAATGAATTGCGTTTCAGTGGTAGAGTTATCATTCTTTGAACAGATTTGCCAAGAGAGCAAATTTTTCTTTTAATGAAGGATAATTAAATTTAAATAGTAGTTTTACGTGTTTTAGTTTCATTTAGGCACACGTTTTTAAATGTTTTAATTATTTAACAGCATTTAGATTTTAAGGTTCAGAAGAAAGTTTATATTAGACATGATGTTATGTGATCCACAAATTAATACTCTTTACCGTACTATAAATTTGATGGTATGTAATTGTGAAATAAAAATTGTTCATGTGAATTGAGTTGTGTTGTTTAAGCTTTTGATAAAAAGCAAGGTATGGTAACCGCCGAATTTGACCCTTAATGATACAAAAATCAAAACTTAGTTAAAAGTGTGATGGTTTGTATGTTAAGGATCTATAGATGCATGATGCCTGTTTGAAAATCAACATTTTGATTTGACCCCGAAGCGTAGATGGAGGTTATAAGAGGGACACAAATTATAATATTTTAATAAATTTCCTTACCTCTGATGCAATTTTGTCATCTTTAAGATACTAATTTTCACTTCGGGAATTCGAAACACACAACGCAAGCTAGCTTATCTGATATTTTCATACACAAGATATACCTGATACTTGTGCATTGTTTCTGTATTTAGTAGGCAGGCAAACCTGCGCTCTTCGATTTCTGAGACAAAATATGTCTTACAATTGATGAAAATTTTAATAAAAATGAGAAAATTGACAAATTTCTATTTCTCTGACCTCTTTGTATGCTATCACAAGGATAAATAACACAAACAAAAAAATCGATGCATGAGTTGGTATATATATTTTTTTTGACTGATTTTGATTGGAAATTACACAAATAATAAATCGCTAAAATATTAAGTAATCGTAAGTATTCTTTAGTGTTCAAATTTGAGACTCAATGTCATGTTCTATATAAATCTATACAATTTTTTGCACACATTTTATGACATTAATGCAAAGTCCTACAAAATTTCTTCATTTACTCTGGTTAACATTATTCATATTATCTGTATAAACATAAATCTTTTAGACTTATTGCTGATTTCTGAAAAAAGTTTGTGTTATTTATCCTTAACATCAATATGCATTTTAAAATAGGAAATGTTTTTGATTTTGAACCATAGCACCGTTCTCTGAGACCCCAAAACAGGGAGAGGGGTTAGGCTATCTTATCCTGTCAATTGTATCCGTAAAACACTTCTCAGAACACTTGTTTTAACAATTAAAAATCGAATATATCTTTCGGAGAATCACGGGTTATATAGAAAACATATCTTTCTCATAAAGTTTACTTACTCAGATTTATCATATTTCATTCCAATACATTTTTAAAGTATTTTGAATTCCTAATCCTGCATGGAAGTATGCTTTAAACTAATAACTATATTATATAGGCAGTTGAACAGCAATTATTGGTTTTCAAGTAGAAGTAAATAAAAAAAATAATTAGTGAAATTATGAGAGAAAAAAAAAATTAAAGTTGCATATTTTTCTGCTTGCAATATTTTAAAAATATGTGTCTCACTCAGTTATGCTTTTTTAAAAAAAAATATTGAAGGCCATCGGTTTTATGTAAGTGTCAGTGAAGTTATTTGCATCTCTAACAAAAACTAAATTGACTATTATGATTGTAATTCACCGAACAAAATACCTGTCTTGTACTCTCTACTAGTTGTAATGATTTAAAAAATTTTAAATATACAAAACACTATTATAGATGTGTCGTGTAGATCAGATATTCCAGACTTTTGATTTAATAAACTACAAAATGCAGGAAGCTTTTTAAAGATATTAATAATTTCTTTACGCCAAAGTACATTCGTAGATTTATTCATTTATTTATTTTGCT